GCAGGTTAATTAAAGCCCTGGCTCTGTTTGAATATCTCAGATGGTCTTTCTGGCTACACAGATGAAGTTTTCTTCCTTCTGTCAGGTTCAAAAAAATTTCTACTTAACCATATTCTCAAAATCCAAGTGCCGCCTGGAGAGCCCTGAACTAGTCAGACTTCCACGTGGGAGTCAGTGGTTACTATACTTCACTGAGGTTTGGTTGCAGGAGTTCCGTTCAGTACTGAACTCTTGCTCTGGGGTAAAACTTGGCTTATACTTAGCTATGGAACCACAAATAAATTCTGATATCAAAATGGAGCAGCTTAAAACTCCTGATTGCAAAGTATTATATACTTTGTTTGCTTATACCAGAAGCTGTGCAAGTTTGGGACTTCTAAACAATTAAGAGGCATGTCTCCACATTTATCATCTCTCCTCTGGTCCCTTATTTCCTGCAAGTTTAATGAAACATTTAGTTTCTTTTTGGCTATAGCAGTAACCTCTGTTGTCTTCATACCTAATACTTCAGCAGTGTTGTGCCATAAACTGAATCCTATTTCTAAAGCTTTTCATAATAACTTCTTTGATCTGTCAGTCCTTAAGATACCATCTGTCATCTCATGTGAAGTCATACTTGGAAGATTACGTTGAGTTGCTCTTCACTGGGCTCGTCTTTGTTCTCAGCACAGCTATCCTACTCTTTGATTGGAATTTGTTCTAGCTGTAGTAGCCCTCTACCAACTATTCAGTACCTTGATGTCTGACTAAGAGGAAACTGCTTGCATCAAAGGGTATATCTGACTCTTGAATGTCTAAAACAACTTTCCAGAAGCCCTTTTGCATTCTAGTAGAAAGAAGTATGCCTGAGAGACCTTGTATTCTAGTTTAAGCATCACTCACACTTATTTCTCTCTAGTAGAAACAATTGTGGCTTCCTTCTGAGTATGGAACTCGTCATGTGCACTGGACCCATTCCCAGCAAACCCAGACCTACAATAGGAGCACACATAGTTACCTGATATTTCTAAAATACTCCTTCTGTGTCAGAGTGGACCTAATGTACGTATTTTGTTTTGCAAACTGGACAAAATTCACTTTTTACTCTGAAGGAGATGGATGATTTCCCTTGTTCAGCTGGACTGGGTGAAGGCAGATGTGATCACACAGGTTTTTTGCCAAAAGCTTCTGTTTGCCGTTCGTGTGCCTGGGGCTTGCATGGTTTAAAACAGTGTGAGTTCCTAAGGCAATGAAAGTAGTTCCTCAAGTTACTGCACTGATAAGTTTAGCAGCCCACCAGAGACTGGGCAAGGTCTCTTTCTGATCATGTTTACTTACTTTTTGGATGGTGATTGGCTGCCTAACTAAAAAGAATGAATACAGCTTTCATCCTTGTTTGAAAAGGATGAGTAAATTACAACAATACCTACTTGAAATCTGTTGTTGTGTTCCTTGTCTTGATTTTTATTTTGTAAACCCTCTTTTCTCCTGTTTCAGCTACATTTTCTCACTTTTCTTAAGCTCAACAATCTGCTTTGTTGCAAACATGCAAAGCTTTTAAACTATCCCTTATGCTGGTGTTGCTGTTTTCAGACCTCAGCTCCGAAGTTTGTCACAATTTAACTATGCCACCTTAACATCCTAGAAATAGCCATTAATTCTTCAGTGCTGCACAGTGATGGGAATGCGTAGTATTACTAGAAATGCTCTAGTAAGAAGCAACTGAAATGAGCTTAAAAATGTAGGCAAAAAATTAAAAGTGAATACAGAAGGAGTAGCTGGAGTATTTGTACAGTTTAATTGGCAAAAAATGTTCTATATTTAACTGATGGTCTACATATTTATCTATAGTAAACATTCATGAGATTTTTTTCTAACAGTCAAGGATCTTACTGTGCATTGAACGGGGAAAAGCACTCCCCAACCTCTACTACTGACACACAGTGATTTTCCTCCCTCTGCTCAGTTCACAGCAAAAGGTCAGCCATCTAGTATAAAGGTGATTTTTAGTGTATGTGATGATACATATTATTTTTTCCCCCTCTCTGGATGCATTGTTCCAAAGAACTCCATCTTAGAGCAGTTTGAGTTGAATATGGCCCTTATTTAAAGAAAGGGCAAGAAGCTACCCTGATGATGCATGACAAAGCAGGAACAGCATGACAATATTTAATGGGCTGCAACTCCAGGACTGGGCTGAGATTTAACCAATTATCTTTTAGTCTGCAGAGTTTGTATTATGCTACCTCTCTGCTCATTAGTAGGACAGAAGAGCTTGGGATTGGTAATACTATGAAACTGGCAATTGTAAAATACCATCCTGGGCTTTCCTGTAGGGGATTTTTGTAGATTGTTGTTTTCTCAGGAGGCTGTGTTAGTGAGCAGTGCTCAGTGAGGAGCATAGAAAGGTGCTGAGGTCAGACACAGCTTTCAGCTTTGTGCTGGCCAAAGTCCCCAGTTAAATCCGAGTGAAGACGTAATGATTTGAGCTTCTCTTTGGGCTGGATTGGGTTATGGCCTTCTGTGGAATTCCCTATAAAGCTTCCTAGATTCCCACTCTGCACAGGAACATGTGGCTAAGAGACAGCTCTTCAAAGATGCAGTGGTTTTTTTGACCTCTTTAAATGTTTCATTGTTTGATGACTGAGCTTGGCAGATTTCAGACACTGAGTCAGGGCTTTGTTCTCGGTGACAAGCTTCCCCTTCATAACGAGCTCTTATTATGCCTTTTGAGAGCCAGAGCTACGTGAGGTAGGGAGAAGAGGATCAGCTGGAATAGCCATTATTCTTACAAAGGGCAAAGCAAGCAGGATATTTCCCAAGTGCTGGCAAAGGATCATGATTGCTAATGGCAATTACACCCATTCTACGATTTCAAGCTTTCCTCCCCTGACTACTGCCCTGCAGCTATAAAGTTGTGTGAAGAAGAGATAGTGGCCATGGCAGTGCTTGAGGTGTTTATAGCAAATCATATCTGTCTGAGGAATGCTAAAAGATGCAGTGGGTCTTGAAGCATATCTGATAACTATGTGGTGCCACATTTGGTCAATAGTGTTCAACAAAATTGGCAAAACACCTAAAGTCTGAAAGAATTGGCTATAATGTGTTGTGTGGAACAGCACACTGAGGGGAAAATGAGATGCTTACTCAAATTTTGAGAGTGCTAGGGAGCCATGGTTCTCTAGTAAAAAGCACAACCACATCAAGCTCCAAGGTTTAATACAGTACATACAATCTCCTGATATGTCTTTAATGGCAAATGGATAAGCCCAAAATACATTTCTTGGTTATATGACTGCAATGAAAGATTAAAGCTGAAATTTCTGGGTCTTGCAAATGATTTCGAAGTGCATCTTGAAACAGTTTAACGAGGACTGTGGTTTATTTAACTGAACATTCTGATCTGAACATTCCTTACTCCTCAGCTGAATGCAACAGCTTGTAATTCAGTATCCATCTGTCTTGGATGCAATTCTTACTTGAAGCTTTGTGCTTTTAGCTGGAATTACATATTAATAAGAAAGTGGGAGGGAAAGCTACCCAGCTAATGTGCCCAGTTAGTTAAGAATCAAGTCACATTTTATTTACTTAAACCCATCTGTGCTTGTTTTGCCAGTAATATATTTGGTCTGCGGCCTGTGGACTATGCAGAAAGTGAAAAGATGAAGTCTGTGCTGATGTTACCAGTGAGGAATGAATCATTTTCACTTAGCCAGCCCTCTGAGGTAAATGTCTGTGTGAGGATTTGGGGGATTTTTTGTTTATTTGGTTGGTTTTGTTTTGCTGTTTTGTTTTTTTTAAAAAAAAAACCAAACCCCTAATTTCATCCTGTAAGTATTGAAGGCTTGGACATAAGTACAGTACATCACCTGCTTTAAAGGGGGATGTAAAATAAACTGGGAAACTAACTTGGACAATGTTTCTAGAATGTATGTGGAACACTTCCAAGCTGTAAAATTCTGTGTTATAGTTTTATCGGAGAAAACAAAGGATATTCCTTGTCATGTGGCTTTATTATGGGAAAATGAGGAGTGTGTTATTCTTCAAGTATTGTTGCTTGAACTTTGCTATTGATGTTGTTTTCTGCATATTGAAATTTGTTCTACTCACCAAACTGGCTGAAAGCAGCAGCAGTCTTTGCTCCAGGTGCTTTTGGTGTGCCTTTAAAAGGCTCTTCCAGTATAGTCCTTTGTCCAACAATGAAGATATCAGCTCAGCAGTTGAAAACAGCTTTTGGAATATTGGTTTGGGGTTTTTGGTTTTCCCCTCTTTTTGCCAAAGAATTTTCAGGACTTGTAACCAAAATCAGGTTTGGACAATACTCTCAGGCACATGGTGTGATTCTTGGGGATGTGCAGTTGTGGTGTCCTCAACAGAAGAAGGACATGGAACTGTTGGAGCAAGTCCAGAGGAGGCCACAAAGTTGCTAAGAGGACTGGAGCATCTCCCCTATGAAGACAGGCTGAGGGAGTTGGGGCTGTTCAGCCTAGAGAAGAGAAGGTTGTGTGGAGACCTCAGAGCAACTTTTCAGTATCTGAAGGGCCTACAAGGAGCCAGAGAGGGACTCTGCGTTAGGAACTGCAGTGATAGGACAAGAGGTGATGGGTTCAAACTGAAGGATGGAAGGTCTAGGTTGGATGTGAGCAAAACGGTTTTCCCTGTGAGGGTGATGAGACACTGGCACAGGTTACCTTGGGAGGCTGTGGCTGCCCTGACCCTGGTGGTGTTCAAGGCCAGGCTGGATGAGGCTTTGAGCAACCTGATCTAGTGAGGGGGTGTCCCTGCCCAGGGCAGGGGTTGGGACTAGATGATCTGTAAGGTTCATTCCAACCCCTAAATTCTATGATTCTATAAAAATCTATGTTCTGTGCAGGGCTAAGAGTTGGACTTAACAATCCTTGTGGGTATCTTCCACCTCCGAATATTCTGTGATTCTTTGATTTATGGATCCTGTCCACTAACATTGCCATGAATTGTTTAAAAATGCTTATTCTTATTAAATAATGCTGTCAGATAAATTAGTTCCTTTCTTTGTTCCCAAACGTTCCTCTTATTGTTGGATTTTTCTGTTCATGCAGGCCCTGAGCCCCAGCCAGCCAAGAAATGGACCTCTTGGTATACTGGGGAGCAGTCTTAGTGAAGAGCAACAGCAATTGCTGAAGAAATTAACCACAGTGCTGAAGGCTCGAAGGTGCACTGAATTCACCAGTGCAGGTATGTAGCCTTGTTGAAATGTCTCTGTCCAAATATAAATAACTACAGTTCTGCACTTTATCCTTTAAGATACTAGTTGCAGCAGGTTTTTTTTATCACTCCTGGTAAGTGCAGTTTCTGAAATCCCTGAATTGTAGCTGTAGTAGTATGATGGTGTGTTTTGCATGTAAACACATAGAAAGCCTGTCTGGTTACTAAAGCAGGAAGCTGCTAGAGGAGCCACAGTTTTGCAGCATGTTGTCTGTTATTTAAAATCCCTAAGTCTCCTCAGAGACCTCTTCTCTTTACACCTCTTTTACCTCTTTAAGGTCTCTGCTCATATGAGACATCCTGTAAAGTTTCTATCTTTCAGAAATAAGTCTTGGGCAGATGGTGTCTTTAGAAAGAGCATGTCATTGACTAAAAGTTGACACATGTCTTTTCATATGCTATCTTCCTTCAAATTTGGTTCTTCCTTAAGAATGATGGAGCCAAATTATTGGGCTTGGTGGTTATTTTGTTCCCCTTCAAGGAGGGGAACATCGTTTTAATCCCTCCTATAACTTTTCCTTTGTGAACAAAGTGCTGAGATAATTTTTCCGTACCGTCTCTCACATCCAGATTACTACTCCAGAATTTTGGGCTGAGTTCTGTTGGCTTTGTGTTAAAGCAGCAAGATCATATAGTTAGATTCCTGTCATAGTTAAATCTGACTTTAAAAGGATTGAAGAAAAAGTACTATCCTATAAACTGGAACCTCATCTGAAGATTTAAGTGTTAACTTCAAACTATAAAACCATGACTTCCCTTTTTCACAGCAAGTATATGTTGAAACCCACAAAATTCCTAATAGCTCTTCTACTTACTTGTATCATAGTCTCAAAAAATCACATACTTGTGCTGGAAAGTGTGGTTGATAAATTATTATAGTCTGTTTATTCTTTAAATGGTGATTGATTGCTTTTCAGCCAGGCATGGTTCTGATTTTTATGTGCCTTTAGTTCTACTGATGTAATCTTTCTCCTAGTAACTCATCTTGTTATCCCTGATGCTCCCATGCCGAGTACTGTCAAATGTCTGATGGCTGTTCTGTCTGGATGTTGGGTCCTCAAGTTTGAATGTAAGTATTAAATATGTGAGATTCTCTGGGTTTTTCTTCCAGAAATAAATAAAGGGATTTCAGAGAAAATTTTTTCCACAACTGCCCTAATATCAATGCTGTCTTAACATAAAGTATGAGTGGATTATTTTTTAATCTCCTGGGTGACATGAAGTTTAGTTACATATGTCTACTACATATGTCCCTGGTAAATGAGTGCATTTCCTCATTAGATGTGTTGGGTAGCTTAAGTATCAGTGGGCAGAGAATTTCTTCATTGCTGCGTTGAAAGATAATGGAAAATATCCCAGGAGAGGAGAAAGGATTTTATTGAATTTTAGGGTTTCTTATGGGCAGTTTCCATTGAAATGGATGGGAAACTTGGGCTTGTTTGGGGGATATGCTCAAGGCCTGTAGGAAGTAAGTAAGCTTATATTTACATATTAGCTGAGCTCTGTTCAAAGTTACAACTTCTAACCCCAGTTTGGCTGTCAGCTGATCATAACTCCTGTTGTACTTTCTACTGAAGTTCTTTATTTGTTGAGGAAGTTGCCAGACTTTTGCAGTCACAGGCTGACGCAGATCAAATGTGTGTAACTTCCAGTACCCATTCCTGTACACACGAGCCCTGCAGGCTGGAGTGCTTTTCCACTAAAACAGTAACCTCCAAGGAAAGATGACTTGTCCTCTTAGCATCCGAGTTGTTTTGGTGTCATCTTTCATGCAATCTGCAATTAGGTTTTTTACAGTGCATTTTTTTTATACAGCTGCTCTGTGGACTTAAACCCCAAATCCTGCTTTTTCTTCATTCTCTTCATTCTCTCAGATGTATTTCTTAGTATCTGCTTTCACAGTAGTTGTAAAAGCCATATTCTTCCCCTTGACCTTTATGGCTAAGTCCCTTTAGCTAATAAGTACACTACAAATGAGTTAATTATCCATGCAAAACTCACAGACAAATTTCATTTCAGTTTTCTACTGTGTGACTAAACATCAGAATATAAGGATTCTTTAATGGTCTAAATTTTCCAGCCACTAATGTTTATGGAAGACACTGTGCAAAGCCTCAGGAACTGCATACTAGTTTTTCCACTAAAGCACATCATCAGATTGAGTATTGGGCTCAGTTTTCATTTGGCTTCCAGATAGTTTGTTCCATGTTTTCTGTAAAGGGTCTGTTGAATTGTGTCCCTTCAGAAATGTTTTCTTAAACACCTACTGTGGCTTCTGTGGCCTTACAAGCATTTGCAAAAGGAAAACAAAAACAAAAAGTCATTGTGTTTTTACACATAGTAGCTTCTCATTGAATATATAACATGAAGAAATACTGCTTATGCTCAAGCAAGCAGATGGATTTCATAACTTCCAGACACTTTGTTGATAAGCAGAAGGGAGATGGTTTCCTGTAGGGATGCAGCAGGAAGCTTGGAAGGCCTAGAAGCAATGTTTGGGTTGTGTAATTGGAAAGGGTGTGTTCCTTTTTAACTAAGACTGAATAATCTGTGTCTATGGTGAATCACTTTGCAGGTTCTTCGCTTCACTCACTTCAGAAGGTCTGTGTGCTTTCTGTCCTACTAGGGTGATTTTCCTTTACCTCATTTCATCTTCTTGCTAGTCAGGTGCTTAGAAAACTTTTGAGTGGTAGAGAGATTTAATTAGTGAGACCTGAGTTCTAATCTTTGTGGAAGAACTTTTATATTTAGAAGTGATTGGAAAAGAAAAAAGTAAATAAAATACTCTGGGGGTTATTCAGGGAATATTTTTATGTTTCTTGTTTGCAGCTGAGTTTTATTTTATGTTGTTAGTACTGATTAGTACAATCCTGACTGCTAATGCTCCCAGCTTAGTAAGCAACATACTACTTAAAAGCAAGTGATTCTCCTCCCTAGTGGGAAATGTTAGTAATAACTCATGGGGTCTGATGCAGCTAAGTGCCTATAATTAACAGCACCACTCCATCTGTTCCCACCAGTCTGTTATCAGTCTTCTTCAGAGTCATTACAAGTTAAAGATTGTTATAACAAATAATGGGACTCCTGCTGATGGAACATTTGTCTGGGAAAAAGAGGTCTTTGCTTTTCTTTTCCATGATTTCTCTCTTAATTTATTGTGGCTTTTTGACTTCTATTTGGATAAGTTTCCCTGAATGTGATGCAAATAAACTTCCAAAAGTATCTGCATATTCTGGTTATGTAATAAATTCAAGAAGTTGCTTATGGTTCTTAAAATAAATTCATGTTGAAAAACTTCACTAAAATCCTTGAAAAAACAAAGCTTAATGAAGTGCTGACTATGCCTAAGTGAGTATTTGCATTTTTTTTCCTACAAGGTAAGCTGCATTTGACTTTTATTTCTAAAGTTGTATTTATAGCCTACGCATTACACTGCTTTTTAAAAAAGCATCACAAGCTTGCAAAAGCAGGATTTCATTTGAGTCTCTTGTGTTAACCCTTGTGTTATAGCAAGGCTTTCAAGCTGTGTTTCTCTGATAAAAAGTAGTTTCCTTCTCTTGGATGATTCTGTGATGCTTCTGTTTATGTGTCCATACAGCATCTGTTAGTATTGGGAGAGAGGTCATGTGGAATTTTCCAGCAGAGTCTGAGCTTAGTGTAAGGCCTCTTAAGTATTAGAGAGCCAAGATTTTAGTACATATCTTCAGTTTTGGGGTTCCCTTTTGTCTTCAGGTGGAAGATTAGGATGAAAGGATGTTACCACTGGGCAATATTAGATCTTCACAGAAGAAAAATTTCACCTTACCAGTTGTAGTTCCATCTTTTCCGTATATAGTACGCTGTCAGCAGTATATCCACTTCCAAAGCAGCACAGAATTCAATTGAGACAGTGTTGTCACTGTGCTCCTTGCCCTTGGCCATATCTTTCACTGGTTTCATTATTTTATTGCCTTCATTATTTCTGGGATGGTAATAGGGCACGAAGTAGCATATCATTATCCTTCTGCAAGTAGGCTGAGACAAAGATTCAAGTAGCACTGTATTTCCCCTATGCTTTATGTAGAGCATAGAAGAGTGTAATTAAAACCAGCAGAAGTCTTTAATAGCTTTTCAGCTTGTTTTTTTCTTAAACTTACTGTCATCTGTTAAAGCAGGGAATGAAAAATGATCTCTGTAACGATATGCATTGAAACAAGCTTGTGTCAGTCTTTGCAGCAAAGTGTCTGACAGAATTCTAAGCATCTGATTGCTCATTCCTTCCTCTGCTTTGCTTACCTGGAGCAGCAGCAGCAATGATTCAGCTGTGATCATTGTAAGAATGCAAAAAACTGCTTTTCCTGTAAGGACTTGGAACAACAGGGAGTTGACTGGAAGAGCTGGGAGACAGCATGACTGACATTTCAAGGTGAAAATAGCTTTCTGAATTTCTTGGAGCAATATGCCCATCCTTGTTTAGGCTGTTAGACCAGAGAAGTGCAAAGCTGTTTGAGCTGACTGCATCTTAGGCTGGGCTGTCTCTCTTCCATGCATAAATATCTTTTAGATAACAGGCTGATACTCAGCAAAGCCCTCCCTCCTTAAAACACCTCAAAACTTTTGATCACTGGAGTTTCAGGCTTGTTTTGCACTTGGAGACTTACTTCAGCTGCCTCCTACAAAAGGACTCACGTCTCTGAGAGGCAGTAGCACTATCCGATGTACATGTGCAGGTTCTGATTGTATCAGGTGTAGAGCTGAGGGGAATGTTTCACACCAGCAGGGTCTGAACTTCTGCACTCCCATAGTGCCTGAACCTTCTGGAAAGGAGGAGGGAAACAGTTGTGCTTCACAGTTATCTCCAATTCAGCCTGTGAAACTGCTGGGGTTTGCAGAATAGAAAATGGGGGTGAGAATGTCTTACATGTGGTGTCTGTCTGCAGAGCTTGGAAGTGGGCTGGTTTGAAATGAGCTCTAGAGGAAAAAGAAACTGTATTTCCTATGCTCCTTCTGTTATGTGTCATCCAGATACTCAGTTTTTCATATTTAGAGAGTGTTTTTGTTCTACTTTACTTATGGTGTGAAGAAAGCTTTGCATTAAGTAAGCCCATTGTAAGGAAGAGGATGGGAAATACTACCTCATTCATTTAGAAGTGGTCTCATTCAGAGGATGAGCACCCCGATGGAATTTAACCTAACCTTAGGAATGGCTACCTCCAGTCACTTTGACAGTCTAGAAACAGCTGTGGTAAATAGTGGGTTTTTTCCAAAGGAAATAGGTCACTTGGGCCTTCAAGTGAAGGAATGATTTTTGTATCACATGCCCCTAGCTTATGGGAATTGATGTTTCAGGATTTCCTAGGTATCTGCTCCATCATATTTAATAAATATCACCTGGATTAACTTGTTAACTACCATTCTTAAGCAGTCTCTGCAGCATCTTGTATCATTTCCATGGGATGAGAAAAGGGACTGCCTCTGTTTCACCAGTGAGACCTCTACCTCACTGCATGAAACTCCGCGATTCTAAAGTCACTTTTTGCATATAAGAGACAGTATAAAAATTCTCTTCCATGCTGTAGCAGAGGCCAGTAATGCTGCTTATGAAAGAAAATAGAAGTTAGCCATACCAAATTCCCTAAGGCATTCTCTCAGTCCAGATTCTTCCTTTTCTAGGAAAAAAAATGCCATCAAGCTTTATTCAATCTGCATGTAAGTTTTAAGACCCAGTGCAGGCTGAGCTAAGGAACTTTCAGTCTTTACTAGATCTTGGTTGTGTACTATTTTATCTTCTTTGTTGCTATCATGTATTTCTAAATTACTTTTGGCCATTCTAAGAGATTTTTGGGACTAACCCCTGCTCTTTGCTTTATTAATGCAAATCCAACAAAACTCCAGTAAGGCTAATTGAGTTACCGAGAGATACCCTTGGGTATCTGTGGGTGATTACACCTTGTTCTTGGCAACCAGGTTTTTCTGTACTTCATCCTCTTTAAATTGTTTGTGCTGATGCAGTTAGTTTCATTATAAACCAATAAGGCTTACATGGATAAGGATTATAGGGCTCTGATATTAAATTTGGCAAATAATGAT